TGTAGCCCACCAGGCTCCTCTGTCCATGGGATTCTCCAAGCAAGAATACTGGAGTGGGTTGCTATTTCCTTCTTCCAGACCCAGGGATCAAACCCACCTTTCCCGCTTGGTAGGTGGATTCTTTACCACTGAGCCACCTGAGAAGCCTCAATCTCAGGGGTTGACAAATTCACATTCCCACCTGGTCCAGAGATCAGCAGCATCCCTGGGGCCACTCCTGGCCCCTGGCAGTATTTCTTTGTAGACACCTACCTGCCTGAACAGACCCTTAGTATGGCCTTGACAGGGATGTTTGCAGCCCCTTTCCAGAGCAGGATCCTGATTCAAACCCACATGCCTGAAGCTGAGCATGTGATTGTGAATGAAATCTAAGATTTCTGTGATTTAGCTAACTTATTATCTTAATATGATATTTCAAAACCAATGTTTTGTCCTTAGTCCTGCCTCTTCTTAAATATAATGCATCTGATTATAACATTTTTTTTACTATGTTGTCCTTAGAATGTGTTCCCTTTTTGATCAAAATAGTACCATCCTTTTTAGGGATAAAAAATATTGTTGACATTAAAAGAAAAGTCAGAATCTAAACAGATAAAAATGGATGGATAATGACTGGAAAATGTTTATACCACATCTTAAAGGGTTTATTCACTCTTTCTGGACTCTAATGAACTTTAGTAACTGCATAAAACAAATATTTTATACCTTGATTTTTTATTTATTTAAATAACTTTTAAATTCTGTTACAACATACTTAACACTGTGTTAACATACTTAACACTCCGTTATTAATACTGAAAATCTGTCCATTTGCCTAATTGCTCTCTTAATCTAACCTCCTACTTTTAATCTAATCTCGCCTACTTAAACTATATATTTTATGTCATAGAGAATTATGTTTTTAAAGTCTAGCAATTCTGATGATTAAGTCTATGAAGTTGTGTTTAAATCTTAAAGAACTCTATTACTGTGTGTTGATCATCTACTTCTGTAACAGTTTTGTGTGTTGGCTGAACTGGGTCTTCATTGCAGCACATGGGCTTTGTCTAGTTGTATGGAGGGGGGCTACTCTCTAGTTGCAGTGTGTGGGCTTCTCATTGTGGTGGTTTCTGTTGTTGTTGAGCCCAGACTCTAGGTGCGCAGGCTTCAGCAGTTAGGGTGCATGGGCTCAGAAGTTGCAGTTCACAGGCTCTAAAGCATGGGCTCAGGAGTTATGGCACATGGGCTTAGTTGGCACCACTGCATGTGAAATCTTCCCAGACCAAGAATCGAACCCATGTACCCTGCACTGGCAGGTAGATTCTTAACCACTAGACCACCACGGAAGTTCTATAAATGTTTTAAACATTTAATCTGTATTGGTTGAGGGAAATAACGTTGAAAATAATAACAGTGCTTGCACCCCTTCCCTACTTAGCTTGGAATTTCAACAGCTATCCTTATTGCCAGCCTCTTAAAGTCCCCATTCAGCTCAGTTCAGTTGCTCAGTTGTGTCTGACTCTTTGCAACCTCATGAAATGCAGCATGCCAGGCCTCCCTGTCCATCACCAACTCCCAGAGTCCACCCAAATTCATGTCCATTGAGTCGGTGATGCCATCCAACCATCTCATGCTCTGTCGTCCCCTTCTCCTCCTGCCCTCAATCTTTCCCAGCATCAGGGTCTTTTCCAATGNCAACAGACTGGTTCCAAATAGGAACAGGAGTATGTCAAGGCTGTATATTGTTACCCTGCTTATTTAACTTATATGCAGAGTACATCATGAGAAACGCTGGGCTGGAAGAAACACAAGCTGGAATCAAGATTGCCAGGAGAAATATCAATAACCTCAGTTATGGCAGAAAGTGAAGAAGAACTAAAGAGCCTCTTGATGAAAGTGAAAGAGGAGAGTGAAAAAGCTGGCTTAAAGCTCAGCATTCAGAAAACTAAGATCATGGCATCCAGTCCCATCACTTCATGGCAAATAGATGGGGAAACAGTGGAAACAGTGACTGACTTTATTTTCTGGGCTCCAAAATCACTGCAGATGGTGATTGTAGCCATGAAATTAAAAGATGCTTACTCCTTGGAAGGAAAGTTATGACCAACCCAGACAGCATATTAAAAAGCAGAGACATTACTTTGTCAACAAAGGTCCATCTAGTCAAGGCTATGGTTTTTCCAGTCGGCAAAGTCCCCATTAAAAAAGAACAAATAAAAAAATTGCCCAACTGAAATAGGAGTCACCTGATGAAGCTTTGAGTTCCAGCTGCCATGACCACTTGGCTCATGGACTTCAGCTTTTGAGTTGAACCGTGCCCCAAGCCAAAATCAGGTGACCCAGAATAAGTGGAGCAGAAAGCTGCTCACTTTCTTATCCACCTGTTGCTACAACACAAGAAATTTAAAAGTGAGTTGTATTGTATAGTGTGAAAACCCTGGAAGGGTCCAGGGCAGTTGAAAAACTAGCACGCAACTGGGCTGGATTATAAGTGCTGGGTGTCCACATCCAAAGATGCTGATCCTACTCTCCTCTACTCTGGCTTGGAGCATTATGTCTAGCTCAGGGTGCCATTCTTTAGGGGGAAAAAATTATAGGGGAGAATAATTTTGATAATGATAATGAAGATAGTAAGTAATAAAACTGAGATTACTTGTAACAGGCCATGCGGCATTCCAAAAGCTTCTACACATATTAATTCATGAATCCTCGCAACAATCCTCTCAGGTGATAAACCAAAAGCACAGAGAGAGGCTGTTACTTACTCGTGGTCATACAAGCAGAAATTGGCAGGGTCATGTTGTAAAGCCCTTAAGTTTGGGGCAGGATGGAGACCTTTTCTTATAGTAATAGTGTTATCCTACATAATACAGAGGATCAGGGAAGACTCTCTTGAGGAGGTGGCTTTTCAACTAAGATGTGTAAGATTAACAAAACAGAAATAAGTTAGGGATGTAGGAAATTTACCGTAACCAGGGGGTAAGGGTGGGGGGTAAATGGAAAGAGTGGGATTGACATGTACACACTACTATATATAAAATAATAAGGACCTACTTTAGCACAGAGGAGGCTTCCCTGGTGGCTCAGACGGTAAGGGTCTGTCTACAATGTGGGAGACCTAGGTTCGATGCCTGGGTCGGGAAGATTCCCTGGAGAAGGAAATGGCAACCCACTCCAGTACTCTTGCCTAGAAAATCCCGTGGCCAGAGGAGCCTGGTGCAGGCTACTGTGCATGAGGTCGCAAACAGTACTCTACTCAATATTCTGTGATGGCTATTTAGGGAAATAATCAAAGAGTGGATAGATTGTGTGTGTGTGTGTGTGTGTGTGTGTGTGTGTGTATAAGTGATTCACGTTACTGTATGCCTGAGACTAAAACAACATTGAAAATCAACTATACGCCAAGAAAACATTTTTAAGTTAAAAGCAAAAGAAATTAGACAAAAGGGGAAGGGATGGAATTGCAACTGCTCTAAGCACAGGGACCAGCGAGTGCAAAAATCGTGAGGCAGGAGCATTCGTGGTGTATTTGGTAATTTAAAAGGTGCAGTGACTAGAGCACAGTGAGGAAGAGAGGGGCCAGGAAGCTTGAGCAGGAGGCGGGGCAAGACCATTGTATCTTCTTAAGCACTTTGGGTCACAGCACTTAGGCAGATATTATCTCATTATCTAGTCATTAGATTCCAGACCTTAGCATGTTTCAGGGAAGACCGTCTATAAATATAGGTTGACTGAATGAATGAACCCCTACATTTTAAATACCATATTTAATGGTTTTATGCTACCTTAGTTGCTACAGACTCATTAAAATGAACGTGTCAGGGGCACATAAAACTGCACAGAGAGAAGTTGTCTTTTTTTTTTCCCCCTTTAAAATAAGCCCAAGACTAAAACTGAATCCAGTTAGCGCTTCACTGGCAAGCACTGCGCGTGAGCCACTTGCCAGTGTCGCGAAACTACAAGACCCTTTAGCAAGGGAATCAGCTTTGCGCTGGCTCAGTCCGGGGCTGCTCACCCAGAGGGCGGGTTCCTAGGAAAAGGAAATGGTCGCTGCGCCTGCGTCGCTCCTTCTGGGTCCGAGGCTGGCTGCGCAGGCGCACAGGTACCATTTTGACCGTAAACATCCTGCCGATTTGAACCGAGGATTTGGGCGGCAGGAAGAGCCGCGGCGTAACGGCAGCCATCTTGTTTGTTTGAGTGAATCGGAAAAGGAGGCGGCGGCTGTGGCGGCGGCGGGAGCTGCTGCGAAGCTACACCGCACTAGGGCTCCCCTCCCTTTCCCCGCCCCCTCCCCGACCCTTTTCCCCTCCCCAGGCCACCCAGCCCGCCCAACTCCCGGCGGAGAGCAAGGTAAGAGAGTCGGCCGACCCCTTCTTTTGCTCCAGCTCCCTCCCCCCCCCACCCGTTCCCCGCCGCCTTGCCGTCGGGGATCCGGACTCCGGAGCGGGGCGGGAGGGCGAGGGAGGCCGCGGCACGGCCCGCGCCCCGGGACGGAGCCCCGCTGCCACTCTCCTGAGCTCCGGGACGGCAGCGCCGCCCGCCCCGGGTCCCTGGCCCAGGGCCCGTCCTCGGCCGGGACCCGCGCCGCCTGGGCCCGCATCGTCTCTTGTTGAGTAACAAATGGTCCAGGTCTGTTTCTAGGCCAGAGGAGCCGTTACTCGGCGGGTCCCTCGGGGAGCAGGGCAAAGCCTGGGCCGCGGAGGGCGAGGAGGAGGTTTGAACGAGCCCGCTCTAGGACCGGGCCGCCTACTCCTCGGGTGAAAATGGCTGTCTAGGAGGACGCGGGATTCGGGCGGGAGGCGGCGGGAGCCCGCGATGCCAGCTCCGAGGGGCCGCAACCGTTTTTCGCGCGCGGGTGCGGTGATCGGAGACACGCGGGCCCGGAGGACGCGGCGGGCCCCCAGCCGGGGACTGTTGCTGCTCCCCCATTCCCCGTTTTGTTTTTTTTTTTTTTTTAAAGGAAAATGGTTACGATGGGGATAGCAAATGTTAGACCAATAGCAAACGCGACCAAGGGAAGTTGCCTATGATTCTTGGGAAATTAGCATAATTGGTTTTCCTCCCAGACTTTTCCTGGAGATTGAGGATATTGAATGTTTGGGAGGGAGGTGTGTGTTTCTGACAAATAGGTGGTGTCTTTTTTTCCTCGCTGAGAAAGGCTTTGAGAAGGATCTGCTGTAATAGTTTAGGGGTGACACTGTCGAGCTGTGCTGCCAGACTTCGCGACCTTCTTCAAAGAGGGAAACGCTGGAAGGTTTGGCCACCTTTAGATTTGATTGATAGGCTTCCAGCGTTCAAAAACGCGCTTGTGTTTTTAAGGGTTTCGGATAAAGGCTAGTATTTATCGGCTTCTCTTTGCAAGCCAAAGTTGAACATCTGCTCCCCTTACGCTGTTTAGAGTAATCATTGAATTCCAGAAAATAAATTTCTATTTTCTTCCAACGAATGTCAATGCCAGTGAGCTGTGTGATTGTGCAGAATGTTGAAGACAGATTGGGGAAGCTTTTTGAAGTTGTAGGGTCATTAAATTTCTTTGCTTATTGTTGGAGGCTGCTAATCAATTACTTTTAAAAAGACGTTGATGGGGACCTGTGCCATACCCGGTGATTAAATTATTTAACAGTTTGCAGATGAGGTGACAGTAGTGCATAACTCAGTGGACTTTGCTTTTTATATGCAAGTCAAACATGGTGGTAGCGCATAATCTTGACCTTTTTTATGTATAGAGGCAACATATTACTGCACTCTAAAATTAACTTCTTAAGGATGAGATTTTCCTGGTGAGTTTCCATTTATTGGAACACAAAGATTCTGAGTTTTATCTCATTATTTGGTACAGAAAGGAAAGTTCTTGATATTGAAAATGAAGATTTTGTGTTTTATCTTTAAATGTTGTGATATCAGAGTTATTAGGCATGATCTTGATAACTTCTATGTACTATGGAGGAGATTTTTTTTCCCAGAGTAACTGCGTCTATAAAGGCATTGTGTTAGGTATGATGTTTAATTCTCAAAACCCTGTTTGGGAAACATTCCCATTTTAGAGCTGAGAAGGCTGAGACTCGCATGTTAAATCGCTTTTAACAGTTACAGAACAGCTAAGGAGGGAGCTGAACTTGAACCTAGGACTATCTGGTTGTAAAACCCTCCTTCAAAGAACTTTAGTATCAATCAAAAGGGACGCAGCTCTGATGTAGAGCATTGCAAATACCTTTTGTTTTGGAGAACCTCCCCACAAACCCCAGAAGACGGTTGCATTCTTACCTGAGTTAGATGATGTTGTTTTCCGAGGTTAGTAATCACTGAATTTCCACCTTCCAGTTTTTTATGGTTAGGGAAAATGAACACCACAGAATAACCGGCTTAATTCACTAGTTACTGGGAAAGTACTCCCAATAGAATTGTTTTTACTTTCAATAGGTGACATTTGTGTATGCCTTGAGTTAAAAAAAAAGTCTGGCAGTGCAGAAGGGTAGGCCTTGCTTGCTCACCGGACCTACTTTTCAAAGGTGACCACTTTCATCAGTTCTGTTTTCACTCTGCAGATATTTTATGCTCCTGCAAGTGCATGTTAACATACATATATAGAGAGAACTCTCTTTTCAATACTTTATCATTGTTTTGAGAGTGCATAGAATTCTATTGCATGATTGTATTGATTTGCTTAAAATCACTTTATTAGGGGCTAGGTAGGTTTCTTCCTAATACTTTGTAGTCGAGCTGGCAAGGCAGCAAAACATTTAGTTAGACTTTGTGGGCTCTGAAGTTAAAGTTGCATTTGCATTGATTACTGGTGACCTTTGCCAAGTTCCTTATACCTCTTCTTTTCTTTCTTGGTCTATAAAATGGGCCAGTATTTATCTTCTAAGACTGTGATGAAGAGGATGGACATGTAAAATTCTGAGGTCTTAGTAAGTTTAATTTTTGATCTGTCATTATTATACATCCTCAAGTATACTTTTGGCTTATTAATGGAAGCCCAGTTTCTGGCTGGAGAGTATTAAGATTTTGCCAAATTGCCCTTCAAAGAGGGCATACCAGTTTATACAACCACTATCTTGCCCTGCTTTCCAACAGATGAGTGAAATATTGGAATGATTTAACATCATTGTAGAAACATGAGTTGTAATTTGACTGGTTTTTTCGAAATATCTTAAAGTGCCATTTTTTGCGTTGCTGAATATGTTCCTAAATACTACTCTGCCATTTCATATCAAATTTTTTAAATTACTTTTTAGGATCAGTTTTTAAAAGTTGTTTGCTGCTTTATAAATAAATGGAGAAATTATGAAATTGGTAAGCTATGTTTCTGGTAAGCAGAAATGTAGGCTTTCTGCTAAGATCTATTGTAAGGGATTTCCAAAATTTAGAATCTTTAGAACTTTTTACCAACCTTTTTTTGTGGGGGTGGGGGGCAGGCTAAAGGTTTGGTATCAGTAAAGGAAAGAAATGCTGCAAAAAGTGAGGATGACCAAATTTTACTCTTATTTAGATATAAGTCAGTAGTTGATCACTATTGTCCCATCAGGCTTCCTTTATTTATTAAGGTGATTTCCTCTTGCTAATTGTTTCCCAGATTAATTTTAGCACCACTCTGCTTTAGTTACTCCTCATCCAATGCCAAGAAAGCATCTGTTTAGGAATCTCTGCCTGGACATAGCTGGGGTATTTTAAGCGTGGAACTCTTAACCAGCAGCTGAAGTGCTGGCCCTGAGCTACTGACACCTGTTGAGACATGCCAGTTTCAATTTCTAAAATTTCCAAAATTTTTTACATGTATCAATTATGAGATCACTTGGTGTATTTATTTCCATTTTCATTAAACACATATTTAGTATTTGACATGCAGCAGAGTGTTGTAGGAGCTAAATAGGTTTTTTTTTTTTTAACTTATTTGGAACATGACTGTCTCCTGTAGTAAAACTTGGGGCTTATTGTGTGTAACAGCGACTGTATTTCTAAGTCAGTGTTTTTAGTGACATTTCAAAGCCGTATTGGATTTCTACAAAATCCTGTGGATTATATTTATAATGCTATAGAGGCAGCCTGATTTTTACACTAACAAACTTTAAGGCTTGAAGTAGAAGTGCTACAACATAGGAGGCTCTTTTTGATTATGGGAAGCATATTTTGATTTACTAGGGTATAAGGTACACTTGAGGTGCTTTTTTTTTTTTTGCTTTTTTTTGCTTTTTGGGGGGTGGGGAGTTAGTCCTTTTACTTTAGAATGACACGAATTCTTCTTTAGTTCTCTTAACTCCACATGTGCAAGAAAAACTTCACAACTTTAGGCAGTTGATGAAGCCAATTTTTTCTTTTGAAAAAATTTTCCTAGTGTGAGTTAATGATTCCCTGAAAGCATCTGGTTCAGAGAGAAAATTCCATCAATTATTGGCATCAAGATGAGGCAAACCTGACCATATTACTCTTGAACTACCACCCTCCCAAACATTTTTGACAGGCGTGAAATCTCTTGCCTGGAATTGCTTAATATATATGTATTTTCTGTACCTTACTGGAAAGAATGAGCACAGTTTTTAATTGAAAGTACAGTAAGCAAAGTTCTTATTTAAAGTTAGGGTCCCTTTATGAAAGCATGAAAATTCAAGTTGACTTAGCCTGGATCTTTTTTTCTTAAGCTAATTCAAAAGGAAATTTTGCATTCCCAGTAGCCATTTATGAGATATGTGGCTTCTCTGTACCCTCACCAGCATTAGCTGTTGCTGTTATTTTTTATTTTAGCTCTTAAAAGAGGTGTGCAGTGATATCTCATTGAGTCTTAATTTGCATTTTCCTAACTAGCGATGCTGAGCATCTTTCTTGTTCTTAATTTGCCTTCAGTATTTTCTCTTCCTTGAAATTCCCCCCCTGCCACCCTTTTCTAGTTGGATTTTTTTTTTTAACTCTTTAGTTTTGAGAGTTCTTTATATATATTCTGGATCCAGGTCCTTCTCAGATACGTGGCTTGCACCAGTGGGTTCCTTCATAATAGGTTCTTCACCCCTTTATGGGACATGTTGTTGGTGTGATGTCTAAAAATTCTTACAAAGCTTTAGGTGTTAAAGGTGTTTTCTTGTGGGGTTTTTTTCCCCCTTAAAATTTTATAGTTCTATATTTAAGTCTGTAATTTAATGTTTATATAATGTGTGAGATTTGGGTTGAGGGTTTTGTGTTTTTGTTGTTGTTTGTTTTGCCTGTGGGGTGATATCTAATCACTGAAGTGTCATTTGTCAAAAAGACTAGTAGACTACCTCCCTCCTATGAATTCTGCATCTTTGTGAAAAATAAGTTGGACTTAATTGTGTGGATCTATTACTGTGTTCTCTACTCTGTTCCATTGATTTGTGTGTCTTTCTGGTCACACAGTATTTGACTATTATACCTCTAAAATGAGTCTTAAAATTGGGTAGAATGAGTCTTCACAGTTTTTGTTTTTCAAATTAGTTTTAATTATTCTAGGTCTTTTGCCTCTCCTTATGAATTTTAGAAAAATCTTGTCAGCAGCTTATTTAAGAAAGCCTCACTAGAATTTTGATAAGAGCAGTGTTATGTTTCTTTAAAAGTTAAAAGAATATTTATTGTACTGTCTGTCCAGTTACAGCTCAGACTATTTGTCTTGGAAAGTGAAAATTTATATTCACCAAAAGTCTGTATACACAAGTATTTATAGCAGCTTTATTTGATATAGTCAAAAAACTTAGAAACAACCAAATGTCCTTCAATAGGTAAAATGGCTAAGCAAATTGTGGTACCACACCCGTCCCAGGGAATGCTACTCAGCGTCAAAGGGAAACAAACTATTAATACATGCACCAAGAACCTTGATAGGTTTTTTAACATGCTGAATCCAAGAAACTATTCCAAAGTCAGATACTGTATGATTCCATTTATGTAACATTCTCAAAATGATAAAGTTTAAAGAAGATTTGGTGTTTGGCCAGAACCTCGGAATGGTAGGGAGCAAGGGATAGGTGTGAAATAAGTTTTAAAATTTTCTTACTTTTCATGCTTTCTGTAAAAGTATGACTTACCTTTTTCCAGTTACGGACATTTTAGAAAAAAATAGAAATTCATTTGGTGAAAGATTTTTAAAAATCTGTGGAAAAGAAAAACGACATGCTCTAAGGGAAGTTACCATTTTACACAGTTCATGTGTTCTCTAAACTGGAGTATTTCAGGCTGTTTTTGTGCCTTGGGTATTTATACATTAGATTACTAAAAGGAAAATAACATACTTGTATTTCTACTAAGAATATTTCAGTCATGATGAATTGTATACTGTATCATTTTTCTCAATTTAGTATTTAAATTATAAGAGGGCAAGTGCTTTCCAGATTCCTGAGTTGAGAAAACTTTGGTAACGCTTCTTTTTAAGGCTCAGCTTTTCTAAACTAATAAAATGGGGTCAATCCACTTACTTATCAACTTGGTGAAATGTAAAGTGCTTGACATGAGGTAGCAATTATTGTACAATGCATTTGGCTGAGAGTCTCATTTTTAAATGGGGTTCTAAAATGGAAATTTCCTCATTGATTAATATCTCTGCTCAAGTGTTTTTCTTCCTGGACATTTTTTTCTTATCATGAGGAACACATTTTCTAACTTTTGGCCAAAAGCAAACTTTCACAGTTTACTGACTTTCACAGTTAGTAATCTGGATTGGAATAGAATTAACACTGGATGGATCTTCAAAAAGAGTAGGTTTTCTGATGACAACTTTTACTTAAAGTGAGAAAACATACTAACACTTTTATTGTAAGATGACAGTGCAGCATAAAAGTGATCTGACCTTTGTCCCCTTTTCACCTTAGTATGGGTGGGCAGTTTTTTTCTTAATGCTATCAAAATTAAACAATAGGTTGCTTTAATTCATACTCAACTTCACTTGAGCCTTTCATACATAGTTCTCAGATTTAAAAGAAAAGGAAACATTTCATATTTTTTGTGAAAGTCGCTCAGTCGTGTCCGACTGTTTGAGACCCCTATTATACAATCCATGGAATTCTCCAGGCCAGAATACTGGAGTGGGTAGCCTTTCCCTTCTCCAGGGGATTTTCCTGACCCAGGAATCCAGCCGGGGTCTCCTGCATGGCAGGTGGATTCCTTCCCAACTGAGCCATCAGGGGAGCCAGATTTCTTGTACATCTTGATAATTCAGTTCTCATGTGGCATTTGTATTAATTTTTCTTCCCCCTCAGGTTTCCTCCTGTTTCAATAGTCAACCAGAACAATGTTCTACGCACATTTTGTCCTCAGTAAAAGAGGGCCACTGGCCAAAATCTGGCTTGCGGCCCACTGGGATAAGAAGCTAACCAAAGCCCATGTGTTTGAGTGTAATTTAGAGAGCAGTGTGGAGAGCATCATCTCACCAAAGGTAAGTTTGATTTTGATATTTTTATTCACTTTGTTGATTGTTCACTGATGTGTGAAATAGAATTCTATAAAAACGAGTTCTTAGGCAGGCATCTGTGTATATTGGGGGTAAAGAAAATCCATAGATTAGCCAGAGTCTCAATTTGATACTCTCTTCTCTAAAAATTGTGTTGTGAGTACAAAGATAATTTTCATTTGCCTCTTTTAATGACAGATAAGCATGGTCTGGCAGTACCCAAATATTTTATATTTGACTTTGTAGATGTTTTTATACTAAATATGAGTATAGGTGTTTTGATTGAGGAATTTATAGAATTTATATAAAGTTTTCAAAATAAGGACCCATTATTTGGAAAATGTTACAGGGGCCAGACCCAACTACTTTATCCACATAGTGAACAGTTTCCAGAACACTTGCTCCACCTCAGCTTCACAGGCCTGTTTGCTATTTCTTGAAGATACCAACCTTTTTCCCATCATTGAAATTTTGTACTTGGCCATGCACTTTCCCTAAATATTTAATTACTGTGTACCACTAGAATGGAAGGCTTGTGAATGTCCTAACCTTATCTGCCTTGTTCGCTGCTCTGTTTCTAGAGATTTTCTTAATATCCTATGAAACTTCTGAAGCAGTGGTTTCCACCCTTGGATTTCACAAATAGTATGACTTAATACATGGTTTTTGTGTTGCCAAAGGTGGACCATTTAAACACACAGACGCAAAGCTACTAACATCATTAGCATTTCATTGAGGAATAAACAGGTTGATTTTTTAAATGTATGAAGGGCCTTGAATGTAATTTTTTTATACATATATTATGTCTGTGTTTTAAAGATCCTTTCCTGGATGTTGTATTTATACATATGCATATACACATACATCTACCAGTTTTCCTGTTTTTAAAGATTCCAGATTGCACGTCTCTGTATCAGTATTGGGAGCTACTGTTAGAATTGACAGTTAAATGAGAGTAGTTCTTTATTGCTGAAAGAGCAAGAGGATCCCAGAAATAAAGCTGGGATGTAGCAGAGACTTGTTCAGAAAGTTATGTAGAAAAATGTTTTACAGGAGAGAAGTGAAAGTTTTATTTGGAATTAAAGTACATTATAAAGTTTCTATGGAACTTCAGCCAATTTTAGAGTTATTATTGTAGAATTTATTGGACTTTCTGCAAATGGGAAAATAAATGACCTTTAGTTCTACCACCTAGAGAAACCTTTAATATTTTGGTATGCCTTCTAGACTTTCATGGGTGCATGTGTTATACATGTAATTTTTCTCCCTTTTAATGCATGTATACAAAAACTGCATTGTATGTTTTGTAACAAGACTGCATTCAGGAGAAGCTCTATTCCTAACTCTGCCATCATTTTAGCAGCTGTATTGTACAGTGTCATAGTGTCTTATGCACAGAACTTAAAATACACACAAAAACCCAGAAACCCACTCTACTGTAATTGAAGTGAGGTCATTTGTGTTTTCATAAATTCACTGTGGAAACACTAATGTGTATGATTATGGGGGGGGGGGGGGCTGCTGCAGACACTCCAGGGAATGTTTTGATAAATGGCAGTGCACTGCACTAACTTTATAATATTCAAAAAAGCTTTGAATTCCAAAACACATTTGACCCCTAGGACTTCAGATCAAGGATAATGGATCTGTAATTTATTGTTATGATTGTGCTTGATTTATTTTACCAGCTGCATTTTTTTGAAAGGAGGGAGCTAATCCATATTTTTCCCCAAATTTTGAATTTAATTCCTCTGGTATTTTAATGCAGCCATTAAAAATTACAGTAATGCTATGGACAGAGCTTTTCCTGGATACAGGCTCATTACAAAACAATATGCAGTTTTTTATACACATACACAAAAAGAAAAATTGTGTGTATGCACATATAAAAGCGTAGAAAGCATGTTAAAATATTACTAAAGATTGCTCTAGGTGGTATGATTACAAGTTTTATTTTCCTCTTTAAAAAAACAACCATTTTGTAACTGTTCTTTGTAAAATCTTTTGTTCTCTGTCTTAATGTTGATGTTTTAGGAATATGATTGTTGGAGCAGGTGATGTACTTATTTTTAAGATATCTGATGCATTAGCAGTGTATTCTATGGGGAAGTTGTACCAACATGCACTGCTGGTCAAATTGAGAAATGTTTTCTTTTTATAGGTATGCTTACTGAGTTAAGTAAATGGAGAAAGGAGAATTTGAACTCTTTTCTGGAAATGGATATGTGTGGCTAATCTTTAACAAAATCCATAAGCAAATACTGAAGCTGATTTGGCTTTTAAGAGAACATCTTTTCATAATATGTGCAGAGTACTTTGTATGCCATTAGGGACACTTATAACTTTAAAATCATTTCTAAGTCTTGTTTTTCTTTGATTTTGGTTTATTATGATAGAATATATTACAATAGATATCTCCACAGGATGAGATGACCTAAAAATTTCTAATGTTTGCTTTCGTTGCATGGTTCTTGTGGGGAAATGTTGATTTAGTTGTTTACAAGAAGTGTCAGACAGATGGCCCACTAAAAACTCTATGCCTTCCCCCCCGTTCTGGTTGGAACGGTCCCTCTTAGCCCCTGCAGAGCTGTCCTTGGATGTATATCCTATGTTCTTGATCATACCTACACGCTTAATAATGAGCAAGCTCAGCCACAGAAATTCCACACCTCATTTTATCTCCTTCTAAACTCTGAACCAAACTAATCTAGAAAGAAAGAAAGCCTTTGCCCAAACACTACCTTTTTTTAAATGAGGGAACTGTTATCTTCATTTTTAAGTAATTTACTTTGAGGTAATACTGATTTGCAACATTATGTAATAGATTTTGTATTTCTACTTTTGTATACCATGCAACGTGCTCACCACCTAAAGTTCTGTTTCCATCCATTACCATACAGTTGATCCTTTTACCCCTTTGCCTTTCCCCCATCCCCTTCTTCTAAGGTACCCACTACTCTGTTTTCCATACACAACCTTCTAAAAGTTGCTAATTCTGAACAAGATAATGGCTTGCCACTGTTGAGTTTTTTGTCTCCTTTTTTCTCAGGTGAAGGGTTAGGTGTAGTCATTATTAATTTCAAATTTCCTACGGCAAACCATAAAGGGAGAGTCTCATTTTTCCATTAAGAGCGTGTTTTAATTGGGTAAGAGATTCATCATCGGATGTGACCTAGATTTAGTCACAAATTTATTACAGTTTTAAATAAGAATTTATAACTCTAAACTTCATTTTGTGCTGTCATGTGATGTGACCATAAATGTAGATTCTGAGTTATTGTTAATAGAATCCTAGACTGCTATAGGGAGTGTACATATTAAGTAAAACAACACATTGTATTGTAAGTTATAAGTAACATAGTATAATAATCATAAGTTAAGCTGTAAGCAAATATTTAGCAGCTTTCTTTGCTACCTTAGAATTTGATGTTTCTGTGGTGTGATCTGGAAAACAATCTGATAAAATTGAACTCATATTTTCTTGTGCTTTTAGAAAATCTTATGGTAACCAGAGGAATTCTGATTCTGTTTAGATTGAGGGTTTAATTTCCTCATTCTTTTCCCAACTACTGTGTCTCATCCCACATAGACCCCCTCATAAACACTGATCAAGATCCACCTTGATAAAATACAGGCTGAGGAGTATGATTTCTTGTTTTAAAAAAAAAAAAAAAATACTATCATCCACTATAGGTTAGTGTGCTTTCCAGCTAAATTTTATTTTCAGGTAATAAAAATTAAGTGAAAAGTGGCTTAAACAGTAAGGAAATTAGTGGTCTGGCTTAACTAGAAGTGTTAGAAGTAGGAAGATCTAGGATTGGTTCAGCAGTTCAAACATGTCATCCAAGGACTCACCTAGACCCCCCTTTCTTAGTTTGCTGGCTTCTTGTCCTCATGCTTACACCCTGGGTTACAGGGCTGCTGCAAGCCGCTGTGAGCCCCACCTACTCACAGGGAGGGAGGGGAGAAGAAGGGAGGGGGGGGTTCAGTTTTTTTTGTGGAGGCTTTTGTTTTGTTTTTTTAATTGGGAAAATCTCAGAATTCTCTGACCTACTTAATACTCCTTGTTAGTTGAACTAGGTTATATGCCCACTCAGAAACAAGCATCAGCAGAGAGGAACGAGACCATCATTTTTCAAGTCTGGGGATGTTCACTTCCCACATAAAATCAGAGTTCAGTTAACTGACAGGGAGCAGGGACTCTGGATTGGCATCCAGAAGTGTCACATACTTAATGTGCTAATGATAGCAATTCATGGGTTGCCTAATACTTGCATCATAGCTACATTCATATCCATGTTAATTCATGGGTTTCTGTCTGTCTTTCGGGTATACTCAGGAAATTTACAGGTGAGAAAATATATACATGATTATGAGGTAACTTCAAATAAATGGTTAAAAGTATGAAGAGATATAAACTGCCTGTAAATTGCACAACATACAGGCTTTGAATTTTTCTCTGAAACCAGAATATTACTGTATAAATTAATGTTAATCCGCAGGTGAAGATGGCACTCCGAACATCAGGACATCTCTTACTGGGAGTAGTTCGAATCTATCACAGAAAAGCCAAATACCTCCTGGCAGATTGTAATGAGGCATTCATTAAAATAAAGATGGCTTTTCGGCCAGGTATTGTTGACTTTTTTGTTTTAACTTTGAAGTTCATTGTGTTTAGGGTGAAAAACTGCTAAGCATGTATTTCTAGATGGGCATAGTTTGTTTTAATTGCAATACAAGGAGCCCTTCAAAAATGGGCAAAGCTTGGAGAGGCAGTGTTTCAAGGGAGATAGCCCATTTCATTTTTGTTCTGTGAATGGAATTATGGCAGACCTTTTTTGTTATTCCTTTGGAGCTGCCCTTTTAACTCCTTTTTCAGCAGTCATCAGAGGTTGAAGTGTTGAAAACCCATTGTTCTGTGTTTTTAAAAACACAGCTCAGAAAAAAAATCTTAGAATTTTAATGTAGTCTTAAAATCAAATTCACTTTTAGCTGAAGTTGTTAAAACTTGATTAAATGTTCTCTATATTTCTTTGTTGTTTTTTTTTAAGGTAATAGTTGATTTCTAAAACTGAACTCTTGCAACCAGACTTCCATCTGCATAGATAATTACAATTGTATACTTTTTTTTGAAGTATTGACGAAATTTTATTCTGATTAAAATAATCTCAATGTGTAGGGGAGCTGCTTTATACTGTTCATTTCTACTGATGTTGTATTCTATTTAAAATTATTGTAGCATGAATAGTGAGATCTTTGAGATTCTAAGATTTGATTAAAAGTGAAATGCTTAAGCGGAGGCTGTGATACTTGATTGTTTTCTACTTTGTGTCTACTAAGCGTATTTTGCTAAAATAATATTTTGTTCCTTTTTTAAATCAATGATGTTTATTATAGACCACTTTAAAATATAAGGGGAAATGTAAAGAAAATAAAAATAATTTAATCCCACTTTTCTAAAATAACTAATTCCTCTTAACATTTGGGATACTCTTTTGCAGTCATTCCTTTTTCTCATAAATTTCGTGCTTATATAGAAAGCTGTTGCTAATACTTATTTGTTGCTGTGTCCTTTATTAAAGATTTCTCAGTTAAATTCATAATTAGTGCTTTGCCCGTTCTCTTGTGATACAAGAAGCGTGACTGGCGATTGTAGAGGACGCTGAGGCGCTTGTGCCTCAGTGATGCTGAAGCAGCCCTCCTGGAATGGAACCTTAGGGAATTAAACTGACAGTTGGCCTTCCTGCACCCCTTGATGATCTTCGGTATAGCCAGGGCTTCAAGCTTCTTGTTACTTTTCCAGGTGTTGTTGACCTGCCTGAGGAAAATCGAGAAGCTGCGTACAATGCCATTACTTTACCTGAAGAATTTCATGATTTTGATCAGCCACTGCCTGACTTAGAGTATGTCTCTCTTTTTCTCTTTTGTTTAATTATTGACTTGGTGTACCAAAAAACATTAGTGGCTTACAAATACATAGTTTCCTTGGGATGTTTTGACATCGAGTTAACATGTAGCCAAAATGCATATGCTGTATTTATGATAGTATATAAATATGAAACATAACCCAGAAGTGTTTCTTCTATAAGAAAACCATGTAAATGATGTCAGCTTTAACACTGCTAAAGAGAATTCTGATTTGCTTAGGCCATTATGTAAATTGAACAGCTGTCTAGCTGTTTGCTTTACATAATAATGATATCAGTAAACTTGAACTGTAGCTTCATGATTTTTTTTCAGAGGTATTTACTAAAGTCTTCTACCATTTTATCATCTTGACCAAGCTATACTCAGCCACAAGTTTTGTTCTTTTTTTTTTAATAAGCATGGGAGATAACTTTATTCAAAGAGCGAGTGAAGGTCATTGTCACAGCACAGATTTGAGAACAGAAAGTTATACAGAGATGACCATTACAACAAAGGACTGTGGTATGTTGTTTACGTCTTCTCAGGTCTTCAGCATCCAGCTATTATTACCATGACAGGGAATGTGACTGTTACTAAGTGATTAAGTAGCACAATTAACCAGGAAACCCTCTACATCAAGCCCTGTTTATTTTTTAACAATTTTTTTTTGCTTTTTTAGAAAAACAATCTGGCATAATTATAAATTTATTACTTACTTTGAATTTATTATGTTAATTAGTGCTAGATACTATTTGACTGCTTTACTTTTTCTCTTTATACTTGGTGTTTTTTTGGTTTTGTTTTTTTAATTTTTATGGTGAAGTTTTTCCTTTTTAAAACAGCTAGAAAGTAAGAGTGATTAGTATTATGAGCTCCAGGTACTGATCATCCAGTTTCTTTCATTATTGATACATTGCCAGTTTTATTTAATGTGTACAATTGACCCTTAACACCAGTTTCACCTGCAAGGGTCTTCCTGTGTGCAGGTGTTTTTCCCTCACTAAATGCATGCTACACTATTACCCAATCTGAGGTTGGTTCATATCAAACAGAGTTCCAGAAAAGCCAGTTAACGTCAGTGTTCACACAGGTGATAAATTGCAGGGCCCTGATGAAAACCCATTTAACCCATGCGTCTCTTAAGTTCTTCCTCTCTGTATACCATGTTGCTTTGTGTAGTGATTTCAGCATACTTATATTTTGCTCACTGGTCATTAACATTTTTAAAATTTAAATACAAATGAAATTCGCTTCTAAATCATTTAGATTCTTGGATTGCATTTATTTAATGTCAGATATTTAGGCTCCACAGATTGTGTGTATGCCTTTTCCCCCCTTATAGAATTGAGATATGTTTTCCCTTATAAAACAGTACAGTGAGAATTGAGGCTAAAGTGTTTTGAAATTCTTTTACAGTGACATTGATGTGGCCCAGCAGTTCAGCCTGAACCAGAGTAGAGTGGAAGAGATAACCATGAGAGAAGAAGTTGGAAACATCAGTATTCTACAAGAAAATGATTTTGGTAATAGAGAAAGAAATCATTAGCCACTAGCTGTAATGTTAAAGTTATGTCACGTAACAAATTTGGATCTTATATTTGAATTTTCTGATCATGCCCCAGAGTCGGTTTATGCAATGTAGATGCTGAAGATTTAAAGCTTAAACCAGATGTTTTCATATTCAGAGATACATAGGCAAATATTTATGAGGCAAATATGGCTTTATAATTAAATCATAAGGCATTTTGTTCTGTGTTAGCAGTATTTCTAACTTTTTTCAACTAATGACTGACTAAAATTTGTTTAGGTGACTTTGGAATGGATGATCGTGAGATAATGAGAGAAGGCAGCGCTTTCGAGGATGATGACATGTTAGCAAGCACTGGTGCTTCTAACCTCCTATTAGAGCCTGAGCAGAGCACCAGCAATCTTAATGAGAAAATTAACCATTTAGAATATGAAGACCAATATAAGGATGACAATTTTGGAGAAGGAAATGATGGTGGTATATTAGGTAAGTCACTACAAGGTGATTACTCTTAACATAATTTATTTAGTTGCAGTGTTTTAGAGTGGCTGCTAATTCTCAGTCTTGAGCATCTCTCTAGGTATGTATATGTGAATTGTGATCAGTTGGTTCAGTTGAAGTTATCTGTAAACCTGTAACCTTAAAATGTTAGCAATACCTAATTTTGTTTATAAGTGCTTGTCTTGGAATTTTAAGTTTTACTAATTCTTCAGGCTTATCTATTTGTGTCTGTAAGTATGTTTTAAAATTAAGGAGACATTTTTTTCATGTATGGAAGTATTTAATACTTCTGTATACTACCATGAAGAGAACAGATGCATACTGAATACAAATTTAAATTTTTTTAAATACATTTTGACATAATTTTATTTTCCCAGTGATTGGCATCTGTTCTTTCAGCATTTCTTTTCTAAACTGCAACTAAGTTACATTCCCTATTTCAGATGACAAGCTGATAAGTAATAATGATGGTGGTATCTTTGACGACCCCCCTGCCCTGTCTGAGGCAGGGGTGATGTTGCCAGAGCAGCCTGCACACGATGATATGGACGAGGATGATAACGTGTCAAGTAAGCATTTCATGCTCAGTGATTGCATGTGATTGTATGGCATCCAAAAACATATTTCATGTAGAAGACCAAAAACTAAACATTCCAGCTTTTAACAAACTGTGACTCTTAAGAAGTGCCTGTGGTTGATTCTCTGATGTGTTGAACCGTGTGCTCCTCTCTATGTTTTGGCCAGTAGGTCAACAGGAGAGACCTTATAATTAGAAAAATGTGTTCTCTTTGGTACCAGTGGGTTTCTTTCAGTTACTCAGAGGGGTTTTTTCCTTACCATTTGTTGGATGTATGGTAAATTCCAAGCCTTTTGTGACCAAATTTCTGCTTTTATAGTGGGTGGGCCTGATAGTCCTGATTCAGTGGATCCTGTCGAACCAATGCCAACTATGACTGATCAGACAACGCTTGTTCCAAATGAAGAGGAAGCCTTTGCTTTGGAACCTATTGATATCACTGGTGAGCAAACACACTTTCCAGTAACTCATTTTAAATAACTTTTCTCCTTTGTCCGTCATCTATACTAGAATCTTTAATCAATGACAATTTTAGTATCTTAAAGAATGTTTTTACAAGTTGCTGTGAAACAACTTCCAAAGGATGAAACAGGCTTTCTGCAAATATGTATCTCAGTCTTTGGGGGTTACAAAAATGCAAACAGGTCACATGCATAACAGTTTAAAAACACTGCAAGGCATTTTTCAGTAGAATAACAAGATTGACTATTCAGTTTTAGTGCTGAAATAAGAAGCATAGCAAAGTATAATTGGAGGTGCCTCTTCTAGTAGAAGAGGCAATATGTAATTTGGATGTGAAACTTAACAATTTCTAAATGATTTATGGATATGGTGGAATAGAATAAGTCATTTACAGTGTGACTCAAGATGTTGTTACTCCTTCTAAGTTAAAACAAGATTAACTGTCTAGATTTCCTACTTAGAATCCGATCACCAAAATTGGCACTTGGCTTCCGGTTTAAAAAGAGTACTTTCTGTGTAAAGAGCTCAGTTTAGGAACTGAACTTACAAAAAGGAACAAGCCTTTCCTCACGGAATTTCAGCAGTACGGGAGCCTGGATCCTTGAGTAAATTAGGTACTGTATTATTGACAGATATCACAGAGATCTGTTTTAAAAAGTAAGGACAAATACTGCATTGTTTAAGACAGTTGAGCTTAACCAGCTGTTACAAGAACTTGAACTTTTAATTTCAAGGAAGGGAACTCAGTAGCTGGAGGACAGGGGCTGGACAGAGGCTGTTACTGTGTAACATATTTTTGAATTTTAAACCACGTGCATATTTTATCTTTAAAACCAATAGATTTATATAACGTATGACAGAATGAAATCTTGAGGAATTTATTTAATACCATGAGCCTTTCTGTATCTTAAGAAACTGAGATCATGTTACCTGCTTTGTAAGAATTTAGTAAGGATTATAAATGAACAAACAAAGTGTATAGTGATGGAGTTTCAGATTCATCTAACTGGGTTTGGGCTTGTTTCACTTCATTAAGCTGCTTATGCAGCTGCCGTATATGAATTGTAACTTTTCTAATAAAAACCATAGTACTTGCAACCATTTATGGAGTCCTCAATCTATTGCCAGACACTATACTAAATATTTTACAATCCCTTATAAGTGGTTGGCCATATTTCAGATGAGGAAATAAAGTGAAGTTAATTTTGTTCAATGGTCACTTACCTAATCTGCAAAACCTAGCGCTTGAGTCTAACTCCGAATGAGGTGTAGTATGTTTCGTGTTTATAGTATAAAACTACATGAGCAAAAATGAATTGGTTCTTACAGTTTTGGGGGGGGGGGGCGTTTTGTGCTAAAAGTCTATACATATTCATTCAGCAAATTATTGAACATTTATCATACGTCAGCTTCTATATGATGCTTGGGAAACATCAGTTAAAATAGATTCTGTACTCGTTTAACTTTAACATTTCTTCTAGGCATGTAGAAAGGCAGAAATAAAATGAGACACCTTGTATGGTTCATGCTGGTGCCTCAGAAAGATGACCTTATTTTCTTTTTATCATGCCAGTCAAAGAAACAAAAGCCAAGAGGAAGAGGAAGCTCATTGTTGACAGTGTCAAAGAGTTGGATAGCAAGACAATTAGAGCCCAGCTTAGTGATTATTCTGACATTGTTACTACTTTGGATCTGGCACCACCCACCAAGAAATTGATGATGTGGAAAGAGACAGGAGGAGTGGAAAAACTCTTCTCTTTACCTGCTCAGCCTTTATGGAATAACAGACTACTGAAGGTAATGGCGTTTGCAGGATTTTAAATTTCATACACATTTTGGTCATTTTTTAAAACAAACTTTAAAACCTTTTGTTTAAATCATTTTTGATCAGGTATTGTTCAGCCAGCCATATGGCATCATCTTTTTAATCCCTTAAACCACAGTATACTGAATATAAACCTGATCTGAAAGATTATGATAAGTGACACCTACATTTCTAAAAGATGTGGAATGAATTTTCACTATTCTAAAAAGCTACTGGTGTTTTTAATAATAATTCTCTCTCAACTTCCTCTGATAAATTATTAGTTCTGTTGCCTTAGTGTGTACCGTGGTTCAAGTCTACATTTCTTTAGATGGTGCTTTCTGGCTAAAACATGGGTGGGTTCTACTTTTCCCACAATATAGATTTCTAGCTTTATGAGAATTTCTTTTCATTTACAGGCCCTTTTTTAGAGTTGAAATATTCTTGGAACTGATTGATTTTGTTTAAATAATCTAAAGTCTTTAAAGCGGCAAGGCTTTGTTAAAACTGCTGTGTTGTTTTTTTTTTTGGAAGCACAATCATAATCATTTGGAAGAAGGTTCTTAAGGTTTTGTTTTGTTTTGTTTTGACTTAGTGATTTCATTGTCAGTAATTTTTCCTGAGGAGATAATTTAAAATATGGGGGAAAAAACTACTCCGTGAAGATGTTAAATAATATTATTTACAGTTAAATTTTTCTAAAGAACCTTAAAATATTAAAAAATCTTTCAAGCGTGGCATATATATGCACATGCATATGTATTTCCACTCAGTGGAATATTCAGTCATTAAAAATACTAGAAATAATAGTTGATAAAATTACCATATCATTAAGTGCAAAGGGTACTATGTAAAGCTATTGGGTATGATTTCAGTTAGATTGAGGTTTAAGTGTATGAAAGTGAAAATAAACTGCAGGTAGATAAAACTTAATCTCCAAGTTAGACAATGGATAAAAAAACCTTCATCCTCAAATTTTCTAAAATTACTGCAATGAAAATCTTCCAGGGCTTCAAATTATAGAATGGAGTGTGAATATGGTATAACATTAAGTAGAAATCGTGCTCAATTTTATATATATATATACTGACTATTAAAACATTGTAATGTTAGTGGTAGGTTTTCATTTCTTGTGATTTGTAGTAGAGATTATATAATTGATTTTTAAATTTTTTTAATTTTTTATAGCTTTTTACACGCTGTCTTACACCACTAGTACCAGAAGATCTTCGAAAAAGGAGGAAAGGAGGAGAGGCTGATAATTTGGATGAATTCCTCAAAGAATTTGAAAATCCAGAGGTTCCCAGAGAGGACCAGCAGCAGCAACATCAGCAGCGTGATGTTATCGGTCTGTTCTATTAGAATAGTTCCCTCATAAAGTTTAAGTGAACATTTGGCTTAAATTTTACCTATATTATTGCCAAAGTAAAAGAAATCAGGAACAAAGAAGTGTACTCAAATTTTTGAACAGGGAAATACATGCTTTATATTCTCTGATTGCTTAGTTAGATGGGAAACTTTCTGTTTTCAGAAAGTTTAAGGTTTAGGACTTGGCTGAGTGCTAGTCTGCTAAAGGATTGTCCTGCCTTGGACTGGAAGTGGCACTTGTGCTTTTAAAGCTCCCTCCCACTTCTGAATGTATTGTTATAAGTTGAGTAACTTTTGTGGAGGTAAAATTTTATTCTGCCTTCCTTCTAGGGAAAGTACCTATGTTGTAGCATATTAAGTGGTCCTAAAATATTGTTAAGGACTGATGATCTAAGTCTTCTCTTCATATGACCAATCGTAGATGAGCCCATTTTGGAAGAGCCAAGCCGCCTCCAGGAGCCGATGGAGACCAGCAGGACAAACTTGGATGAGTCAGCCATGCCCCCGCCGCCACCTCAGGGAGTTAAACGAAAAGCGGGACAAATTGACCCAGAACCTGTGATCCCTGTAAGCACATCTCTCCATCAAAATGTTGGGGATGTTCTGACAGTATTTTAGATCCCTAGTAGTAGCAAGTGTTATTTAAGGAGACCTTTTGAAGTATCTTGGTTTGGGCAGAAAATAGCAAGGACTGGATCCAGAGAGAAAAAATGGCAGCCAGAAGTCTAAACACAGTGTGCCCTGAGTGGGCGTTGTTTTTAGTTTAGGAGTTGTTTTCTTGGATAGTCTTGCTTCAGAGTGGCCTGAGCATCCTTGGCTAATATGGAATCCTTGACACTGAACTTGGTTCTAATTTTATTTCTCAAACATTAGCCCATGGTGAATCAGACAATTCTAGATAGAATAAGAAAAGCAACATAAGGAACCTGTTAAATACATTTTGAGTAAAATAGAACAAACTTCTGCTAATAAATAGCTATTAGCAAGATGGAACATTTTTCCTCCATTTTTATTGAGATAAAATTGATATATAAATTGTATTAGTTTGGGGTGTACAATATAATGACTTGATACATGTATATATTGTGAAATGGTTACTATGATAAGTTATTATCGATCACTTTACAGAATTAGATTTTTTTTCTTGTCACACAGTATCTACTCTAAGCAACTTTCAAGTATGTAAACTTACTTAAAACTGGAAGTTTATACTCTGACCAACATCTGCTACTACATCTCATTTCCTCCACCTTCTAGCCTTCGTGACCACCAGTTTACTCTCTGCTTCTATGAATGTCAGCTTTTTAAGATTCCATATGTAAGTGATACAGCTGTCAAATAGGACTCGTCTTTCCTTTCACTTAGCATAGTGCTCTCCAGGTTCATCCATATTGTCACAAAAGGCATAATTTCTTGTGAATAATATATCTGTGTGTGTGTATCATATTTTCTTTATCCATTTATGTATTGATGGATACTTAGGTTGTTTTCATAGCTTAGCTGTGAACATGGAAGCATCTTTTCCAGATAGTAATTTCATTTCCTTTGCATAAATACCTGGAAGTGAAATTTCTAGTTGTAATTTTTTGAGGACCTTCCACACTGTCTCCATAATGGCTGAGCCAGTTAAATTTACACCAGCAGGGCGTGAGGGTTCCCTTTTCTCCTTATCCTTGCCAGCACTCGGTCTCTTGTCTTTTTTGGCGTTTTAACAGGTTAGTCATTCAGACAGGTGTCAGGTGATACTCTTGTGGTTTTTATTTGCATTGCCTGATTAGAGATGTGTTGAGCCTTTTCTTGTACCTCTTGGTCATCAGGTATATTGTCTTTGGGAAAATGTGTGTTCAGATCCAGTGCCCATTTTGTTTGTTTTGCTTTTGAGCTATGTTGAGTTGTGTATATATCTTGAGTATTAGTCTCTTATCAGGTAAATAATATGCAGGTATTTCCCGATTCTGTAGGTTGCCTTTTCATTTTATTGATGGTATCCTCTGTAGTGTGTTTTAGTTTGATGAAGTCCAACTTTATTTTTGCTTTTATTGCCTTTGATTTTGGTGTCAAATCCAAAAAAGTCTGTCAAAACCAGTAAGTTTCTTACCAGTGTTTTTTTCTAGGAGTTTTATGGTTTCAAATCTTAGATTCAAGTCCTTAATCCATTTCATTCTTATACATGTGGCTGTCTAGTTTACCCAGCACCATTTATTGAAGAGATTGTCCTCTCCTCCTCGTATACTCTTAGCTCCTTTGTGCTAAATTAATTGACCATATAGTGTACATTTATTCCTAGGCCTCTGTTCTCTTTCAGATTCTGGCTTATTGTTTAGCAAATATTCCTGCATATCTATAGTACAAAGTAATTTCAGGCTGTCTTGTTAAGAAACTAGAATATATTTGTCCGAAAAGTAAAGTAGCATCTTGCTACTCTATTTAAACTGGCTACCATTAAGTTCACTTCAGTGTCCTGTGGTAAGTGAAAAGGAAGGAGGGGGTCTGGTTTGAAACTTCCCAAGCTTAAGTCTGTAGAATACATTAATTTGGACAAAGGGAGACTTTTTGGTGCCTTAGGCTCTTGGTTCAGCCTCCATCAAGACACTGGCAAAAGAATATTCCTTGCGAATTTTAAAAACTAGTTCTCTAAGCCCCCCCTGGTGTTAAGGAGTTGTAAAAGGCTGGGTGCATTTTTGAGTTAAGGAAGGGGAGCAGGTAATAGGTGGGTTGCTCTAGTCTCCACTCTCTGGATAATTGTTCCTTTGTGAGTATTTTAATGTTCTCATTTGTTTGTATTAAGTCAGAGAAGAAAATACAAGAAATGGACCCAGAAAAATAGTCTCCTCATTTGTATTATTTGCTTCAGGAAAAGCCCAAAGGCCTATTTAGCACTCAAGCTGAGTTGCAATAACCTTAAGGCAGTCTTATACAGTAATGGTTGCCTGTGCCAGGCGAATTAATGTTAGAGCCTTTTTGCATTGCCCTGGAGTCAGTGGATTCTGTTTATTCCTAAAATGTTAATACAGAAAGTTTTGAGGGTTTTTTGTTAGTGTTTGCAAATAGTAGGTATAAAAACAAAGCACCTTTGCTCTAGGATAATAAGACAGTGAACAGATTTTCTTTTGTAAACTAATGTTGAGACTTGTAATCAGTTTTTGATTATGAGGTAGTGTGGAGGTGTGACCCCAGTATTTCTTTTCATTTTGAAAACTGCAGCAACTGCATACTTAAAAGAAGCTACCCTTAAAATGTGCATCCTTAAATTGCCTCGTTTTTATTGCTTTAAGCCTCAGCAGGCAGAGCAGATGGAAATTCCTCCTGTAGAGCTGCCCCCAGAAGAACCTCCAAATATCTGTCAGTTAATTCCAGAGTTAGAACTTTTACCAGAAAAGGAAAAAGAGAAGGAGAAGGAGAAAGAAGAGGATGAAGAGGAGGAGGTAAGGAAATGTAAAAAAGGTCTGACGAGTAAATTCCCATTCCAGGTTTAGTGAAAATCTTCAGCCAGCTCGTTATTATTTTTCATATTGGAGCTGAGTTAATTATCAGAGTGATAAAAATGTTTGAATAAGTGCAAAACTTAGCCAGATTCTTAGTGGTCTAGACCAGGGGTCCCCAACCATTGGTCCAAGGCCTATTAGGAACTAAATAGGCCTCACAGCAGGAGGTGAGCGGCAGGTGAGGAAGCGAAGTTTCATCCATATTTATAGCCACGCCCCATCATACCGCCTGAGCTCCACCTCCTGTCAGATCAGCAGCAGCACTAGATTGTCACAGGCCTGCAAACCACTGTGAAATGCGCATGCAGGGGGCCTCGGTTGTGCATTCCTTGTGATTATCTAATGCCAGTAGCACCAAGGCGGTGATGCTAGTGCTGGGGCGCGCCTGCCCCTGTCGCCTGTTACCCTCAGATGGAAGCGTCTAGTTGGAGGCAGACAAGCTCAGGGCTCTTAACTGCTCTACATTATGGTAAGTTTTATACTTGTTTCATTATATATCACAATGTAGTAATAGAAATAAAGCACACGATAAATGTAATGCTCTTGATTCATCCCCAAATCATCACACCATACCCCATCCATGGAAAAATTGTCTTCTACAAAAACCGGTCCCTGGTGCCAGAAAGGTTGTGGACCACTGCTCTAGACCATCGAGACCCTCAAGTTTTATGCTGTGTTAAATAACTCACTCGGTCCCTTGTGGATTTTTGAAGGACAAGAGGTTTGCCCTTTGACTGATTTCCTGACTTCTAAATTGTAAGCTGCTCTTGTTCTCTTGTGGTTGAGGGTCAGTTCTTACTGCTACTAACATCTTCTCTTGTATAACCCCTCTATTTGTGAGGGGTTTGTTTTTCATTAGAGTGGAGTGGGATGTGACTTGGCTAATCTGATTTTTATTTTTTAAAAAAGTAGAGGTAGTTTGGGAATGGATTTCCTTTTCCTCATGCACACTTTGGCTGTTCAGGGTCTTTTGTCTTCCCAACCCCCCGCTTTTGTTAGATCTTTAAGATTGTTATAGAAGACTTAGATATTTTTGTTTTTGATGTCCTGTCAAATATTTTATTTAAACCTTTATGTTTAAAGTTTCTTCCAAGACTAATTCTCATTACCATCTGTTCATATTTGTAATTTATGCCAGCATAGGTTTCATAACCATTTAGGGCTTGATTATGAGCCTTATATTGTTTTAAAGTCAGAATTTAGCCCCAGAGTTCTTCCAGCCTGTGTTCTAGAGTATCTCAGACTGTGTTCAATTAATATTTAAAATTATACTTTCTGATATTTTTGAAATTGTTAACTCCTGGTCCTTTGGGTATTATGTATAGTGCCAACATAGTTTGGGAGTATCTCAGCTCTTGCCTGGTGCCAACCTCAGTCTTGTAGGTGGCAGGTGACTGGGAACCAGGCTATTACAATTAAATATATATTATAAATTATAGCCCATTTCTTTCAAAATACCTGATATAAGTTTCTTATCTTAGCAGCAGCCAATAACCATTGCTTGCCAGCATTAGTCCATGGACTGCACTGTGTAGATCCCATGCTTCTAGATCAGTACAGAATCAGCTAAATGCACAGAGGACATTCTTTTGTAATTAAAAAAAAACTTTGAACTAAATGCTAAGTGTTCTGTCCACTAACCAAAATACACAATTTAATTTAGAGCTTTCAGGAGACAACAGAAATGCTTCATTTTATAGCAGTATTGTCAGTTTGTTTTTGTGTGGGGTCATTTTCACTTAGGATGAAGATGCTTCAGGAGGTGATCAGGATCAAGAGGAAAGAAGGTGGAACAAAAGGACCCAGCAGATGCTTCATGGTCTTCAGGTATGCCAGTGAAGGCTTAGAGAAAAAATTTCATCAAAGGCTTTTGGCATTGTTTCCTTAAAAGGAAAAAAACTTATACGCTATATAACCAGCAAGCCTGCCTTTTGTGAAACTTCTTCCAAAACCACATACCTTAAACTACTTTAATACATAAGCTCTTAGGCTAAAATCAAGCCTGGAAAGCATCCAGGTGAACACTTTCCCATTGTTACTCTGCAAAGCAGAGCTCCTTGGTGTGTGTATACATCTTATTTTTGGTTGAGCAAATTTAATGTGTTGAATTGTACAGGGTTAGAGTGTCACCTATCCTTGGGCCTTCATGTATCGGATGTAGAGGAGATAGCTTGAGTGTCTGTGAAATACCAGGTGAGATGCTCAGGGTCTCCTAAATTAGATTCAAAGGATAGTTGAAAGTTGGCAAAACTGTAAGTGCTGCATTTAGTGCGTGTTTTATCAGTTCAGTTAAATCTACAAAGAAATGAGTCTGTGTTAACATTGTCCCTTTGCTTTTTTAACATGAGAAACATTTGCATACTATCCAAAAATAGTATGCTTCTAAAATTACTACTTTGGTTTGCTGATTGCCTTCATTTAATCCTTCCTTTTTTTTTTATTTCAGCGAGCTCTTGCTAAAACTGGAGCTGAATCTATCAGTTTGCTTGAGCTGTGCCGAAACACGAACAGAAAGCAAGCTGCAGCAAAGTTCTACAGCTTCTTGGTTCTTAAAAAGCAGCAAGCCATCGAGCTGACCCAGGAAGAACCATACAGTGACATCATTGCCACGCCGGGACCGAGGTTCCACATTATCTGAGCAGCTGCCGCGCCGGTGCTACTGTTCCTTGCACTAGTGTGCACGGCACGCAAAACCCTTCTGGAAAATTTAATTTTTGTCTGTACAAAGTCTCTGCCTTCTTTTCATTTTTTCCAGTATTTTAAATTTACCCATTTCCTCTTAAAGCAGAACTGCTTGTATGGTGTTTGTATTCTGGTGGAGAAAGCAAGCACCCCAGAACAGATGTGTGCAATATTGGCGCATACAATTGAGTAGCAGCAGAAGGTTGGGGTTTTTATCTTAGTTCTCCATTATAAAGGAGAACGTTTCAGGAAAAAAACACCTGACAGTTAAGAACAGCAGTGTGACTCTTTGACAGAAATTGTCTTTTCCCATCAGCAACACCCAGCAGTCTTAGCAGGGACCATTGTCCTTCAGGGATGGTTCCCCAAACAGAGACTGTCTTCTCGGGATGAGTTTTAAAGTATAATTTCACAGTTCACCATGGGGGGCGAGGGGTGGGAATGTGAAATTAATTGTACTGTAACTACAAAAAGATAGGACTTGGTTTAAAGTGCCCTATTTTGTAAATCATTCCATTTGAAACTTTTTAATGAATCTTACTATACTGAAATCTGTTGTTTTAGTGAGACTCTAAAATGAGCAGAAATAGACTTTTTAGAGTAGAGTGAATATTAAAAGCATCTATAATTTTCCAGGAGCTATAAATCAAGGTTTTAAAAAGATGTTTGGACATATTTGAGTATTCCGATCATGAAAATAGAAATTGCTATGCTAACTGAAAGGACAGACTGATGGGAAATTGTACAACTGGAGGACTTAACCTTTAAGCAGACAGCGCTGTAAAAACTAATGGCTTCTTTGATATTTATTGTAAGTTTTAGTATTGATCTTTTTTTCCAAAGCTTGCACACTCCTTTGTTTGGAACTGTAATAGCTTTGCAACAGAAATCCAATAGTTTCCTGTAATTTAAGTGAAGAAAAACATCCAAATAAAGGCTTTAAATATTAACAGGCCAGGTAGCACAAAAATCATGTAACTGTTATGATTATCAAAACATGTCTTAACTTTTTAGGGCAAATTATACACTAAAAGTTCTAGCATAAGTGTTGGCACTTGTGTGGAAAAAAATCAGACTTCAGTGTATACCCAATAATTTTAAATTATGTGAGATGTTTTAAATTTGTGAACTCGTAATTACTGTTTTGATGATTCAGTTTCTTGAGAATGGTAATTGTATAAAATTGCTATTGCCGCTTTATTTCAGTATCATGTGCCTGTAAACCATGGATTTTTCTCCCTTTGTATAAAGACATTGTAGATAATTGAATGTTTGATTATAGAAAGGTCATTAGTTTATCGTTACACATTTTGTTAGTCTGGTTTTTGTTGCTTATCGGGTTTAATATTGTTCTTGAAAATAGTTGATGCAATGTTATGTATAACTTTTCTAATAAAAGTTGTGTTATAAGCTGTAAATTCTGGAGTATTGGTATTCAGTTGGTGGCATTCCCCAAGAGTATTGCTTCATCTTTTTTGTCTTAACTAGAATAATTATCCACACAAATAGTAAGTGAATTTTTCAAGAGATCTTTAGAGTACAAAATAATACATTCTAATATACATTGTAAAGATTTATTAACATTAAAATGAAACCAATAAATGGCTGATGTTGAGGAATCTTTTGGGGCATAGTTATAGTCTTGTAATTGCTAAGTTACATACAAATTATGACATGGGTGCAGGGGGGTGTGTGCTTGGGGGTCTAAACAATATGTAGCCCATTAACAATGTCCTGGAGATTTGCTGGATCCATCTGAGAAACTTACTTTAGCCATGGCGTTCAATAGGTAACTTGCAACATACCCATCTTTGCATTCAAGCATCTGACTTGTCCCACCACTAGCTATGAACTCTTAAGACACTTAAGACTTTATGCACTCGGGAAACAGACAAAGAAAAACTATTTGAAAGCTGATACTTGGTAGAGATGCAGAGGTACAGAAGCACTTGTGCACACAGCAGGGGAAGAGGACGGGTGGAGCAAACCGAGAGCAGCGCTGACACATAGAGTACCATGTGGGAAGCTGCTCAGCGTGCTGCTCTGTGATGGCCTAGAAGGGTGGGGCGGAGGCCCAGGAGGCAACGGGTGTATGTATGCATACAGCTAATTCATGTGACGGCAGGAACCGTCACAACATTGTAAAGCAGTTATATTCAAAAATATTTTTTTTAATAAATACACAGAGGAGAGAAAGCTGATGCTTAGGGTTCAGGCTTCTAATTTAGCACTCCTGTAGGGGCTGACTGTGATCCTCCTCCGAGACTAGGAAAACCAGCAGACACCTCAAGCTTGCTTCAAGTCACCAGTATGTCCCTGAGACGAGATCATGCACATGTCTGATGCCCAAGCTTTCATGGCTGCTGCCTGAGGGAAGGACCCTGGATCAGCTAATTCTGATAACCAACAGGAATCACAAGTTGACATTCAAACCACAGGACTGTAGCAAACAGCAAAGGAATTAACCAACTTGGGAGTGCACATGCACACAGACCCAGGCCCAAATCAGAGGGAGCAGACAGTGCCCACCTGGAAGGCGCCTAGATACGAACTTGACCAGCCTATTCACTTAAAGGAGCCAAGAATATAAAATTGGGAAATGACAGTCTCTTCAAAAATGGTATTGGGAAAACAACAGCCATGTACAAAAGAATGAAGCTGGAAATTACAGAATTTACTATAAATCAAGTAAAGTTTGAATATAAGATGTAAAGCCATAAAATTTCTGTAAGAAAACAGGTGATCAACTCCTTGAAATCAGTCTCAACTAAGATTTTTTTGGATGTGAACTTAGAAAGCAACAAGATTACCAAGTAGGACTATATCAAACCAAAAAGCTTTTGCACAGCAAAGGAAACTGCCAGTAAACGGAAAGCAAAATTGGAGAGAATATTTACATTATATATCTGATAGATTGAGATATAAAATGAAGAAATCATACAACTCAATAGCAAAACAATCATTTTAAAATGGGTAGAGTGTCAGACATTTTTCCAAAAAAGTACAGATGGCCGACAAGTACATAAAATGTGCTCATCATCCCTAATAATCAGGGAAATGGAAATCAAAACCACAGTGAGATAGCACTTCACACCTGTCAGAATGGCTATTATCAGAAAAACAAGAAATCACAAGTGTTGGTGAAGATGTGGAGAAAAGGGAATACTTGGTATGCGTTAGACTGAATAGGTGCAGCCACTGTGGGAAACAGTATGGAGGGTTCTTAAAAAATTAAAAAGAGTTCAACATATGATCCAGCATATCTGCTTCTGGATATTTATAGGAAGAAATCAAAAGCACTAACTGATGAAGACACACATCCAAATTTATTGCATCATGACTTACAATAGCCAACATATGGAAGCAACCTAAGTGTCTATGATGGATGAATAGATAAAAATTGTGTGTGTTTTATACACACACATATAGACACACAATGGAATATTCTTTAGCCATAAAAAATGACATGAAACCTCACCATTTGCAAAAACGGATGGAACTTGAGGACAGTATGCTAAATGACATAAGTCAGAGAAAACCAAAGACCATGTGACATCATACGTGGAATCTAAAACAACAAAAATTCCCAAATTCACAGATACACGGAACAGATTAGTGATTGCCAAATGTACGTGGGGAAGGAGGGATTGGTGAAATGGGTGAAGGAGGTCAAAATGTATAAACTTCAAGTTACAAGTCACAGGGATGTCATATATAGCACAATGACTACAGTTGTTAATACTGCACTGCATAACAAAGTTGCTAATAGTATATCTTAAAAGTTCTCACAAGAAAAATTTTGTAGTTACATATGGTGAGGGATGTTAACGTGATCATTTTGCAATATATACAAACATCAAATCATTATGTTGTGCTCTTGAAACAAATAATATATTCACCTCAAGAAGGCAAAGTGGTTGTCTGAGGAGGCCTTATGAATAGCTGAGAAAAGAGAAATAAAAGGCAGAGGAGAAAGGGAAAGATGAACCCAAGTAAATGCAGAATCCCAAAGAAAAGGAGAGATAAGAAAGCCTTCTGAGTGAACAATGCAAAGAAATAGAGGAAAACAGCAGAAGGAGAAGAGACTAGAGACCTCTTCAAGAAAATGAGATACCAAGGGAACGTTCCATGCAAAGATGGGCACAATCAAGGACAGAAACAGCAAGGGTCTAACAGAAGCAGAAGTGACTAAGAAAAGGTGGCAAGAATACACAGAACTATACAGAAAAGGTCTTAATGAACCAGATGACCAAGATGGTGTGGTCACTCACCTAGAGACAAACATCTGGGAGTGTGAAGTCAAGGGGGCCTTAGGAAGTTTTACTATGAACAAAGCTAGTGGAGGTGATGGAATTCATTTGGAGCCATTTCAAATCCTAAAAGATGGTGCTGTTGCACTCACTATGCCAGCAAATTTGGAAAACTCAGCAGTGCCCACAGGACCGGAAAAGGTCAGTTTTCATTCCAATTCAAAAGACAGGCAAACCAAAGAATGCTCAAATGACTGTACAATTGCACTCATTTCACATACTAGCAAGGTAATGCTCAAAATTCTTCAAGCTAGGCTTCAACTGTATGTGAACTGAGAACTTCCAGATATACAAGCTGGATTCAGAAAAAGTAGAGGAACCAGAGATCAAACTGCAAATATCCATTGGATCACAGAAAAAGCAAGGGAATTTTTTTTTAAAAATCCATTTCTTCTTCACTGACTATGACTATGTGCATCACAACAAACTGTGGAAAATTTTTAAAGAGATGGGAATACTAGACCACCTGACCTGTCTCCTGAGAAACCTGTATGCAGGCCAAGAAGCAACAGTTAAAAACAGACATGGAAAAACGGACTGGCTCAAAATAGGGAAAGGAGTACATCAAGGCTGCATACTGTCACCCTGCTTATTTAACTTATATGCAGAGTACATCATGCGAAATGCTGGACTGAATGAAGCACAAGTTGGAATCAAGATTGCTGGGAGAAATATCAACAACCTCAGATATGCAGATGATACCACCCTAATGGAAGAAAGTGAAGAGGAACTAAAGAGCCTCTTGATGAGAAGTGAAAGAGAAGAGTGAAAAAACTGGCTTAAAACTCAACATTCAAAAAATGAAGATCATGGCATCCGGTCCCATCACTTCATGGAAAACAAAGGGAAAAAAGTAAAAATGGTGACAAATTTTATTTTCTTGAGCTCCAAAATCACTGCAGATGGTGACTGCAGCCACGAAATTAAAAGACGTTTGCTTCTTGAAAGGAAAACTATGACAATACTAGACAGTCCACTTTGCCAACAAAGATCTATATAGTCAAAGCTATGGTTTTTCCAGTAGTCATGTATGGATATGAGAGTGGAACTATAAAGAAGGCTGAGTACCAAAGAATTGAGGCTTCCAAACTGTGGTGCTGGAGAAGACTCTTGAGAGTCCCTTGGACAGCAAGGAGATCAAACCAGTTAATCCTAAACAAAATAACCCTGGATATTCATTGGAAGGACTGAAGCTGAAGCTCCAATACTTTGGCAAAGAGCCAACTCACTGGAAGAGACCCTGATGCTGGGAAAGATTGAGGGCAAGATGAAAAGGGGGCAACAGAGAATCAGATGGTTGGATGGCATCACCGACTCAACGGACATGAGTTTGAGCAAACTCCAGGAGATGGTGAAGGACAGGGAAGCCTGGGGTGCTGCAGTCCATGGGGTTGCAGAGATAACAACACCTCAATTTAAAACAAAGAAATAATAGCTGAGAACTTTCCAAGTCTGGGTAGAGAATTATATGTCCAAGTATACAAAATTATATAACTCTATTAACTCAGTGCAAATAAAACCATATCTAAGACACATTATAATGACCCTGTCAAAAATCAAAAACAAAGAGAGAATCCTAGCAGCAGCCAAGGGAAAAAGATAATAACCTATAAAGAAATTCCCATCAGGCTCTAAGCAGATTTCCCAGCTAAAAGTCTAGGTCAGGAGAGATGCAATGACATATTCAAAGCTGAAAGAAAAATAATTGCCAGCCCAAAATTTTCTAGAGCAGAAAAAAATTCGGGGGAGCTCATCACCCCAAGACTTGCTTTGCAAGAAATACTAAAAGTAGTTTTTCAAGCTGAAATGAAATAATGTCAATCAGTAACATGAAAATGTACAAAAGTACACAGCATATGGGTAAAAGTAAACATTCAAACTTAGAAAACTAATTCTGTAGTAGGATGATGTGTTAGCCACTTAACTACAGTATAAACATCAAAAGAAAAGAGTATTAAAAATAATTATAGCTATTATAATTTGTTAATGAACACACTATATAAAAAGTAAATAATGCATAAAAATTTAAAGAAGGAAAAGCAAAAAGGTGAAACTCTTGTAGACAATTAAAGTTTCTATCATCTTAAAATAGACTGTTTTCTTTATCA